AATTTAAAGTTAAATTTCACACAAAGCAAAATATTTACAGGATAAGTGTTAGGAGCGTATGACACACTCCCACCTTGCCCATCACTGCCTCTTTACAGCCCACTTCTCCACAGCCCAATACTCTCTCTCCCCAGCCTGTTGGTGCCAATGTACCTTCTGCTCCTATTAGCCAGAGACAATGCTCCCCCTCAGACAACATCCTCATTACTAGTCAGTGGTTCTCTGCCTCCTCTCTCCTGATTGGCTGCAGTGATTGGGAACTCTATTTGATTATCACAAGTCCAGGATTCTGGGCTTGTGTAGTGTTCAGCTTCCTGGCTCCTGTACCTGTGCCTTGTCTTGTATTGCTACTGTTGCTTGACCCCTTGCCTGACCATAGCTGGGACATGGATCATTCTACTGATTGCCACCTGACCTGACCCCTTTCCTGGAAAATTGATAATTCTCTAAACCCAGCCTGCCCTGGTCCATACCTGGATTACAGACTAACCTGGCCAGACCTTTTGCCTGGATATGGATATTCTTCTGATTGCTGCCTGCAGTGACCTCTTGTTTGGTATAACAGATACGCTATTGATTGCAGCCTGCCCTGGACCTTGCTTGGATAATGGACTTAGTCTTCCCTTGCTGCCAGCCCAGGCCACCCACTAGTCTTGGTCCCTCCTGCATACTACGCCTACATTGAGAAGCCATATCCACATCCAGAAGCCATCCGACACAGAATGTGACCTTTCTTTATCTGGGGTTACTCGGGAGTGTCCCTGTTCTGTGAATGTTGCGCTTAGGGGCATAGAAATACCAGCAGACACATCGACCTTAATGTAAATGTGGCAGCTATAGTGAAAAGGTGCAAACGCCTTGCTTTTTTCATACAACAGGACATAAAAAAGATACCTTTACAACACACAAAAAAAAACAATTGCCATAGAGCTGCCTAGCATTCTTTAAAAAAAAACAATTTTTTCTCTCTTTTTAAAGCTCTTCCTGGCAGGGCAATACAGGCTTAATAAACAAGTCAGTGTTTGGATTACATTTAGATAGAGGAGCCATGCTGGGTCAATTTTCCTCTTTCCTCCACCAACCAGATGAAAACTACTCTACCCTTCTCAGCAGCCTCGAAATCCAATTGAATGCAAATAAACCCACACGGAAGACCTAAAAACTTTCAATCATCTGGTTAGCATGCATATTATCTTGAGTGACTTGTCAATGCTGTAAAATCTGCAGCCCATCAACCAAAAAGTGGCAAAGTACCATTCTACTCCTCTGATAAAGCTCTAAGGGTTGTTTAAGAGCAGCGTGGGGTCTCCCATTAAGGCTTTCTGTGCTGGATGTCATTACACTGCAGTGGGTGGGAAGAGGCTGTCAGAACATCCACTCTATCTGAGGGTGTATGAAATTCATTTTTCCTTCCTGCTCGCTTTTAAACCTGCTTCTCTCGGGGGCTTAACCATCAATGCTCAAATTAACAAATGTCCAAACGCCACTGGGGATTGGAAAGAGCCGTGCTGGAGCCAATAAAAACATCCTATGGGAATGACCTCAGTATTGAACCTGTTAAAAGCAACAGGATTTTTGTTGCTTTAAAAGAACAGAAGGGAGGGGGCTTTTCCTCGCCAGAAAAGGAAAATCATTGCCATACATTCCAACATGCATACACAGACCCCGAAACAGGTAGAGCAATATGTTGGCACTTAGCAAATCCAACATGTATAACAGATACAAGTATTCTGATTTAAATGGAAGCTATCATACAAGAAAATAAAATCCACAGCTATTTACTTGGCAATGGAAGCATGAATCTAAAAAGAAGTAACCATTTCTGCATCGTTTCAATCCGGGATGGGGCTTCATGTGGGACAACTTCATTTTTAAGGACACCTATATGAAGGTTGTCAATGCTGAACTCGTTTTCTGAAACTGGGAGTTGCTTGGCTTTCAAACTGATCTAGAATAAGTATATATGACCTAGGAGTCCTGGAAAGCTGCATGCTGTTACTGGGCATGCAACTCAGGGGGCTTAACCAAAATCCCCCGTTTTAAGTATATTCCTATTATTCTAATTATACTCTAAATTCATAGTCAATTCTACCACTGCCTGTGTAAAACCTTATAACCTAACCCTAACCTTATGCTGTACAGGTGTCTCTATATTCCTGGGCTTCATTGGTCTCATGGTCTCTTATGGCCGTAGGTATACACTTTACTGTAATCATTTTTTGCCTTTCACAGAATGCATCCCTTTAAAGCTGAACTTCAGGGAGATCTAAAAAATGGCCATCATCAAATGTATTTTATTGCAAGCAGTGCAAGTACTTGGCTTTGACTTGGTATCACCATCTTGTAGTCTCACAAGCTAAACGGAAAAAGAAGCAGCACAAGGAACCAATCAGTTGTGGTGCAGTATAAGGAGCATATTCATAGCAGGAAATAGCAGTGTGACATAGGGATTAGTTTATCAATCTGCTGCTTCATCTTTCACTGTTTAGTCATAGGGTAGGGATGGGGAGTACAACTGTAAGTGAAAGTGAAACGGCATCAGAGAAAGGTCAGGTTCCTTGTCAAGCAGGGCTTTGTGGTGTGGAAAACAATGTTCATTTATGTATTTCATCTGTGTATTTAACTGTTTGCTTGGAGTTCAGATTTATGCAAGTTATTTTGAAAATTACGTGTTTAGCAGTCCATAATCAAAGGTGAGCTGACAGCAGTGGCGTTATTTAATAAGCAAAGACCAGTCACGATCAATAACGCGCTGACAGTTGTGTCATTATTTAATAAGCAAAGAACCATTATCCAACAATAATTTTTTTTTAACTGCTCTGAATTAATGAAAGGTAAAATCTCTAATAAATTGCTATGAGCAACTATGTTTTGTTCATAATTAAGGCTCTTTGCCCTAACCAATTATAGAAACACAGTGCTATGCCAAAAGGGGGCACTTTGACACCTGGGGCCCCAATAAAAAAGAAAAGGTAAGGCAACTCAGATCTAAATTGCTATTTCAGGCTTAGGTTTTTTTGTATCATGTATTTTGGACATGTTGATAATAAATACATTAAGCCATCTATCATGGCCTTTTCGAATTCTTCTCACGCATTTACAGATCTTATATTTGTGGTGTGTACCGCCCAAAGTTACTACAAAGCAATATAGTACGTTATTCAACAGACATTTATCTAAGATGCCTCCCCAGGAGTAATTAGCATAATATGGCTAGAGATAAGCTGAATTCCTTTTGGGGTATTGTTGGCTCTACCCATAAACACAGTTACACAGTGTTTAAGTATAATACATATATATAGGTATATCTATATATCTATAGATATATAGATATATCTATATATCTATAGATATATAGATATATCTATATATCTATATATACTGTATATCTATATATAAAATCAGGAAATGCCATCAATCTTCAGTCAGATAGCACAGGTTTCTTGACTCTCTGCCAGTTGGATGGCTGACGATGTCCTTGATTCTTGTAAAGTGAGCCAATTCCCTGTACGCTGAAAAGCCATATGCCACTGACAGTTTTCTAAGAGGAATTTGTCACCTATTGTGAACTGATTACTAGACCAACACGGTGCTTGTATATTGTGTATGCTCTTTTGCATTTCAGCACCAATCCTACATAACACAACACAAGAAAAGGTTATTTCGAGCTGAGAGTGCTATGAAAGAGAAGTAGCCATTGAAATCACGATTAAGAATGCTAAAAAAGTACCTGGAAAGGCTATATGGTGCACCAAGCTTGGGAAAAACTGGTGTATGGTGATAGAACTACAAGTACTAGCATGGTTTTCAAGTAGGAAATTGGATTTTGACAGGTAGGTTTAATGCATATTTACCACCCCCAGCTATAAAACACAGCCTTGGTTTATAATAGTGAAATGTTTTTGGAAGCCAGTAAGAAAGGTTTTAGTGACACATGCCACCTACAAGCCACTGCATCCCCTGGTCATACATGTCACTTATAGAAGCTCATTGCCAGTAATGCTTCTTATCATAAATTACTGCCACACATGCCTCTTATGAAAGCTCTTTGCAACACATGCCATGCCTTGCGACAGAAGCTCATAGTCACACATACCACCTACAGAAGTGCCTAGTCAACATGCTACCAAACATTTGTCCAGATGCCACTTCTAGAAGCTACTATGCAACATGCCACCTAATACAAGCCCAGAAGCAACTTTCTAAAAGCCTAGTTAACATGACCCCTAGAAAAAGCCCAGATGCCATCTCGAAAAGCTCTTAGTCAACATTTCACCTAGCACAATCCCAGATGCTACTTCTAGAAGCTCCTTCGCAACATACCACATAACAAAAGTCCTGATGCCACTTTCAGAAGCTACTATGCAACATGCCACCTAATACAAGCCCAGAAGCAACTTTCTAAAAGCTGTTAGTCATCATGCCACCTAGCACAAGCCCAGATGCCACTTTATAGAAGCTCCTAGTCAACATGCCATCTAGCACAAGCCCAAATGCCACTTTCAAGAAATTCCTGGTGAGCATGCCACCTAACACAAGCTCAGATGCCACTTTCTAGAAGATCCTAGTCATCATGTCACCTAACACAATCCCAGAAGCAACTTTCTAGATGCTCCTAGTCAGCATACCACCTAACACAATCCCAGATGCCACTTTCTGGAAGGTCCTAGTCAGCATGCCACCTAAAAGAAGCCCAGCTGCCACTACTAGAAGCTTCTAATTATCATGCTGCCTTACAGCTTCCAGATTAACATGCCTTTACTAAGCCCCACATGCCACCCAGTAGAAGCTCTTCGGGTACACTTGCCAAGAAAAGAAGTTCAGTGTTAATTTGCCATTTAATAACCAAAGCTTTTTCAAAATCATTACCAAAGCAGGCATAGAAAATGTCAATTTAAAAGACTATTGCTTGTTGTGGCTAATAGATCAATACTCTCATTATGAAAACATAACTGCCTAGCGCTCTGACCTGTAGGGCTTTTATGAAATGTGCAACTTACTTTCCCAGTTCCTCGAACAGTTGGTACTCCTCACTGAAACGTGTGCAGGTGATGGTAGCCATGCCTTGTTCACACTGCAGTAGCCCCCGAGATGTTCGATAGTAGCAGGATAGAGATGTCACAAGCAGCTGGCAGGACAAGTGCACCCTCTTCACGTTGTACAATAGCAGTACGCCTCTTTCTAAATATGAAAAGATGTAGTCTGTTTTTTTTTTTTTTTTGGTAATGTGCCCCTGTGTTTGGATGTCTCTATAGCTCCCCTCTATTCTCTTACTCTCTTCTTGGTTTCTTGCGACTATGCTTTTCTCACTTTGACACGTGCTCCACCTGCACTAGATCGAAGGCATTAAAATATTCTCACACGTAGCTATCTCCCAAGTGTTGCTTTAGCTTTTTTTATTTCCTCCACGGTCACATTTCCATCTACTATCTGCTCCCAGTCTGTATTGCTTCTGCTCTTTGTCCGCTGTGTAGTTTGCAGAATGCCTGGCACTATACCTGGATATATGTATATATTTTCTTTTCCCTGTGGTTACGCTTGTTCTGCCTGGTCCCTGCTGCTACCGTGAAGGTGAGGAAGGCAGGGGCTCTGACTGACAAGTCTGCAGATAAGCATGAAGCCGATCTGTCCTCCCAACCTTATCAGCCGTCGTCAGCATCCACATATCCATAGCAACCACCCTCTGAAACGCCCTAACTCTGTTGCCAGGGCAACTACTTCCCAAACATCGTTCCCCCTCTTTACACTGCTCCTGAGTTGTTTTTTTTTTATTAAATCCTGAATACTGAAGGATGTTAAGTAAGTGCAGAGCTCAATCACAGGCATACCACAAACAAAGGACAGTGGTGTGGCAAAAGCATCGTAGATCTATCCAAATTATATGCATGGACAGTGACCCTGTTCTGTACTAGCTGATGGATTGCTATGGTAACAACAGCTTCCTTGTCGGTTCCCAGGAAGACAGGATGTTGTTACCATGGCAACCATGATTGATATTTTACAATAGACAGGTATTAAATTGTTTCCAAGCAACATTTTTCCTGCTAAGTTAATTGTTCAAAAGAACAGAATTTTCTGCTCCATGGTGTTTAAGAAACAGCAATCACTGTAGGTGACATATAATGCCATCACATTTTTTAGCTTCTTACTTAAAGCAGTAAATTAACTCCTTCAAGAATCTGGATGGGTTATGTGCAGTGGTACAGCAGGAAACTCATGCATTTTGGCACTTTGTGCATGGGAGTAGCTTCCATTTTTTTAAAATGACATTACTTTAAATTAAAAGCCTGCAGAGAAAGCAACAATAGCTCATAATTAAGTGTCAAGGACTCTTGTGACTGCACTTATCCTTATGAATTTTGGGATTTCTGTGGCAGTAACCTATGGATTCCTGCCACAGGAATCCCAAATATTCCGTTTAGAAGCAGCCTCTGTCAACCATTTAAGTAAATATCTGGCTGACAGCGGCCACATCTGTAAACGGTACTCTGCATATAATGATATGTGATACGATTACATGTGGTTTGGAATAGACCACTACCCCTGGACACATCTATCGTGCATCCAGGAACAGTGATCTATTCCAAACCGAATGTTCACATACTGCTGCTGTCAGTCTGTCAATAGTCTATAATTTTGCTACTCTACACATCACTGGTTCGGCCTCACCTGAAGTATGCGGTGCAGTTTTGGGCACCAGTACACAGAGGGGATGTCCTTGAACTGGAGAAAGTCCAGCGAAGGGCGACCAAACTCATCAAAGGGATGGAGGACAAGAGCTATGAGACACGGTTACTAAATTTAAATATGTTCACGCTGGAATTAAGGAGATTAAGGGGGGACATGATTTTCATGTACAAAATGTTCTATAGTCATAGCGACATTAGCAACATACTCTTTACGATTAATTCCGTAACAAAGACTAGAGGCCACCACCTGAAACTGGTAGAAAAAAAATTCAAACACAAGGGGCGAAGGGGGTTCTTCTCAGTTCGAGCGGTTAGGGTCTGGAACTCGTTGCCACAAGCAGTGATTTCAGCTAATAGCGTGGAATCGTTCAAGAAGCTTTTGGACGATTTCCTGAGAAACGGTAATATACAGGGGTACAAGTACTCCTAATAACGAGATGACTCAGGGATCTATACACACACACACACAATAGGTTGGACTTGATGGACATGTGTCTTTATTCAACCTCAAATACTATGTAACTATGTAACTTCAAAGAGTGACAACGACCACAGCTGAATGGAATATTTGGGATTCCTGCAGAAGGACCTTAGGTGACACTTATTTTCCCAGCAGGTTTATTTGTTGCACAGCCAACACAAAGAGGGGCGTGTAATGACCCCATAACAATGTACCAGCCACCCATTATCAAGCTCAAGTGGGTATGCCCATAAATTCTCCACAATACTGCCCCCAGCTATGGAAGCTATTCAGCCCCATAAATTCCATCCTTTTTCCTTCTGTGGAGAGCCAGACCTTGATTGTAGAAATGATGGCACTTTCAGGGGCCTGCCCCTCCAGTAACGACACCTATAAAAAATGCATTAGCCAATGGAAATGCATAGTTTAAATACCAGATGAGCTGGTACTCATCCCCAACTCTAACTGAACCTGTGTATTCCTCCTTCCACCACATAGCAACTAGTTATCAGAAACGGCAACCACCATTATATCTAATAGTAGGGTGGGTGGCATTTACTCCCCATGCTCTTCCACCACAAAATAGCTGCCTGCGTCAACCTAAAAAGACTTCCTCTAATCTTCTAATCTCTTCTAACCAATGTGGGCCCACCTATCCTTATGTTGTCCAGCCTCATCCCCCCTCTTTCATCACAACCGACCATCCCACCCCCTTCCTTCTCTACCTTCTCTACTTACCTATCCAATCCTTCGAATTTTGACTGTGCCCATCTTATCCCTATTACACCTATAGCATAACTCCATAGGATAACTATAGCTGGGATTGTACTTAAAATGCTGTCAATCTTCCCCTCCACTGCAGCCACATCAATTCGTATCTTTCTTTGGTTAGAGGATTATCATCTATGTAGAGTGAAGTATACTCATTTTCTTTTTTCCTTTTTTCCGCCAGTTTCCAGAAACTCCTGTTACAGTGATAGCACCATATGCTTTATCTGCCAGATTCTTGGATCTGTTTTATATTCTCTCATATGTTTTCTATCCACCTCATCCTTTTGATGGCAGATAATTTTTAGAATTGGTTATTCATCCTAGCTTGCCATCGGTATGTTAGTAGAATAAATAGTTAAGAGTATATGATTTAGGAGTGAATTCTACAAAGTGACCAAACTATCGCTTTGCCATCAATATTTTCTTAATGTAGATGTAAACACAATCACTAAAATAGTTTCAATATAATTGTAAGATGTTTATGAAGTTTCCAACGTAATTTAAATCTTAACTTAATTTTCAATCTTTTATTGAAATAATATCTGGTGATTCTGCCATGAATGTACTTGTTCACGTTCTGTTATGGGGTGACAAGGTTTTGTCCTCCTGGATTTTCCTGGATTTTTCACAGATACACTTCCAGCGCCGACTGTAAACAACTAATGTACCATGTTGGTCAAGTGCCTATGAAATGTATAAAAATTGCATACAGATAAGATGCAAATATGAAAATAATAAATGGAAATAAGTTAAAGTGTAACTCAATTAAAAAAAAATTCAATGTTCCATTGCTTCCTTCCCCCTTCCTGTGTTTGCTTCTCTGTCTAGTGCAAGGTCTACTTCAGGGCAGAATATAACTCTGTCATTTTGCCTATTTCCTGGTGCTCAGCCTCTCTTTTACATGCCCCTCTAGGAGGTGCTTCCTTACGCAGGCTGAGATCACCATGCTCCAGGACTGAGAGGCGCTTACATGTCATTACATGAGCGCCACTAAGCCCAGAAAGAATGCATGCCCCAATGCTGCCACCAAAGAGAATAAGCTACAGTGGTGCCACTGGATTGGCAAGAAGATGAAAAGAAAAAAGGTACAAATA